CCATAACTTAAAAAACGTCGAATAGTCTTAGAGGAGAGAATCTAAACATGTAAAAAGGCGCTCGTCCCCCCTTGCGGGGCGATTCAGGGTCAGTTTTCCCGTGCATGTGTGAATGCACCTGGCCCTGCCCCTGACCTGGCTTGTGTGGGACTTGCCACTCCCACTGGCATAAGGATGGACTTCGAGCTGGATCCTGGGACACAGACAGATCACACACAAATCAGAGGTGCTGAGGGATGCTGGCCAAGTCACACACAGGCAGTGCCTGTGCTGTGGAAGGTTCCCATCCAGTCCTCAAGGCAGGGCCTTACAGGAGCCTGCTGGCTGCGCTCAGGGGGAGGTCTTAGCTCTGCAGCCTAAACTCGTGGGTCCTGGTCTCCCAGCGGGAAGGGTCTTTGTCTACCATGCTGCGCTCTGTGAAGGTCACATGCCCATCCACGTCCACGAGGATGACCGTGTTGGTTCTGAAAGAGAGCACAGGGCCCACATTCAGCCCGCTGCCCTCGGCTCCGGCCCACCTGTCAGCGCCCCAACTGGGGTCAGATCTGAGGCAGAAGGGGCAAGTCCACCACACCTGGGGCCTGTGCTAGGCACTCAGCATGGCTAGGCAGGTCACAAATTCGGGAAGTACAGTGGGGCCTTGACTTACGAGTTTAATTTGTTCCGTGACGGAGCTCATAACTCAAATTACTCGTATGTCAAATCAACAATGAACGAGTGAGACACGTGATGCTGGGCTGATGTTGTGGCGTTCACTGTGACGTTCGCGGCGCCAACTAGCGATGGGGTATCTGAAGCTGGCTCGTAACCCGAATTTAAGCTCGCAACTCAAAGCAAAAAATCGGCCAAGAGACGGCTCGTATCTCGAAAAACTCGTTTAGTCGGAACACTCGTAAGTCAAGGCCCCACTGTAGAGGGACCCTCTGGGGTAGCTGGGCACTGAGCCTGGTGGGGCCTGGAGCTCCCTGGCTGGCCCCCCAGGACGAAGCTTGATGACTCCTGTTGCCTCCACTCTGACACACCCCCAGCCTTCCCTGCCCATCCTCTGTGGTACAAGTTCCAACCACCCACCACTCTCACCAGGGCGAGCCCTGGGCTCTCCGGCTACGGCCCAGCACAACTACGGACATTCGGCCACACTCAGCTCTTCCAAGCGGTCAACCTGTCAACTAGTTGGGGACCAGGCCTTCTTCACCTAGAAAACTCCTCTGTGCCCTCCCTCGCCTCCCCCACTACCCTGTTCCAAATGCTCAACACACCTGTCCTCCTGCCTGGCCATCCCCACAGTCAAGGTGGGACCCAGCAGCCATGCAACCAGACATGCCAGGAGTAGACCTGGCATTCTGCCTCACACACCAAGTTCACACGAGCACATGGTTTAGTCAAAAAATAAGCCTATGATGGTGGAGGGCTTGAGGGAAATATGCCCCTGCCAAGGAAAAAGCCGCCCAGCCAGAAAGACTGCCATTCAGGTGTGCAACCCTCCCGGGGCCTGGGAGCATCAGTGCCGGCATTCACACCATCCGTTCCCCCAGCCAGAGGGCTTGAAACAGTCATTTCCTGAAGGATAGAAGATTCAGAGAGGCCTGCTGGTCACCAGGACTTCACATGTCCATTCCCCTGCCGGATGCCCTCAGCATCAGCAGAGCCTCAGCCATGTCACCGCAGCAAGGTTGGTACACATCCTCCTGGGAGAACTACCTCCTTATGTGCACGGAGGCAGCAATAACCCAACCTCTCCCACCTGCGGGGAAAGGAGGGGTTTGGCTCACTCAATCTCAAACAACCTGAATGCAAAAACCAGGTACAGTGGGGCCTTGACTTACGAGTTTAATTCGTCCCGAGACCGAGCTCGTTAAGGAGCTTGTTAACTCAAATTACTCTATCAACTCAATGCAAAAAATTGACCGAGGGACAGCTGGTATCTCAAAAAACTAGTTAGTTGGGACACTCGTAAGTCAAGGCCCCACTGTATATGTGTGACATCACCCTGACGCTGGTCAGTACTGGTCACCACCTGAACACCTCTTCCGAGTCCTTGGTAGCCATGGGCCCCCAAGGGCACGGCTCATCCACCACAGTCACTGCAGGTCCCCAGCCTGACACAAGGCTGGTGCCCCTGGGGCCTGGTGCCAGCTGAGCCTAGGCCAGCCGTGGGCAAACTACGGCCCGCGGGCCGGATCCGGCCCGTTTGAAATGAATAAAACTAAAAAAAAAAAAAAGACCGTACCCTTTTATGTCATGATGTTTACTTTGAATTTATATTAGTTCACACAAACACTCCATCCATGCTTTTGTTCCGGCCCTCCGGTCCAGTTTAAGAACCCATTGTGGCCCTCGAGTCAAAAAGTTTGCCCACCCCTGGCCTAGGCAGATGTGGCTTGCACATGAGGCGGTGCTCCACCTCCAGGCCAGGTAGGCCAGGCACATGGCAGCAGCACTCCTAAAGCATCTGGCTGCACCCCAACCTACCCTCCTCTGTGCCTCCCAGCCACCTCTAAGTACAGCATGTGGGCTGCCCTCTGATGGAGCCACGTGGGCAGGCCAGGACTCCCAGCCTCACACCCAGGAGGGAGGAAGACAGGAAAGGAATTTGCCAGGACAGCTTCTCCCCCCTGGACATTATCATCTCGCGGCTGAGACATTTTCGCCTTTCCGGGGATACGGCAACATCTCAGGCTGAGGTGACGTAATCCCGACCCTGGTCACGCAAAGAACGTGACAGGCCCAGGGACACAGGCAAGTGAAGGGAGGAGCCAGACACTGGGACCTCCAGGCTGACAGGGATTTGCCCAGTGCCCTCTTGGCCCCCTTGTGGCTGTGTCAGAGGGTAGGGGGCAGCCTAGGACCCCCTCTTGGGAAGCAATGGAAGCCTCAGGGGCCTTATGCCTGGTCTGCAGCACCCCTGGGAGCTGGCATCTGCTCACCCCACAGCCCCCTGAGCTGAAATGGCATCCCCTTCTAGATAAGGCAGAGGCTCTGGGATCCACAGAGCTCGGGTAAGGCCAGGTACCTGGTGAGACAGGACCAGATGCACCCAGCAGCCCGCCGTACCTGGTGCCGTAGCCTGGGCAGCGCACGCACACAGCCGCGTACTTGCTCAGAATGGGCTGCACATACTCCCTGCCCTGGTCCTCAATGGCCGGGTCCGGCAACTGCCTGGAAGGACAAAGGAGGGGTCACCACCCCAACTCGACACCTGCTGCCCGCCCACAGCCTTGGAAGGTCTATTTTTTGCACTTTTCTGCTCAAAGGCTCAAATCTTGGTCAAGACTTTCACTTAGGACTCCGTGGCTGGGCCTAGGCGACCTGACAGCGGTTACTGGGACAGCGCCCCCTGCCAGGGCCACCAGGAGCTTTCCCAGGACCCAGGACCCAGAACTCAAGACTCCGAGGACGTGAACACTTACGAGCTCAGTGCTAGGAA